GAAACTTTCTCCAGTGACATATTTCAGCTATTTGTACTTTATTACAGAGGAAAACTTTTAGAAGGTTTTTAACCAATCTAAAGAAAATCTACCTTTGAAATTGTTTAATGTTGGAAGGCTGCCCCCTTCCCTTGCGTATTTCTAAAAATTCACCTCACCTCTTCAAATCTTCACCACAGAGAGGTTCCAAGAAAACATGCACTTGGGTGGGGAGAAAAAAGAGGTTGAGAACCACTGAACTGAGGAATATTCTCTTTATTGAAATGAGTGGAGATAGCACTGTTCCCATCATGAAACACATCCCTTTATTTAGAAGGGTCATGAGGCTTGTGGGCATGGAGATTTCTGTAGGTCAGCATTATCTAGACAGAGTGACCTCCAGTCCTTATGGCATATTTATGTGATTTAGTAAAAGGCTCCCCTGCCATCCGTGGGAAGATTGTTTAATGCTTTTGTTGGAAGACACTCTACTGCTCTCTGATAGACATTTGTCATAATAAATATACAAAATCATGATATGAATGACATGTCCTTGGCCATGGTGTCATTGTGTAGTTCACAGCCTGCACACTCATATGGGACACTTGCAAGTAGACAAAAGAAAATAGAAATCCCCACAGCTACACTTGGCCATAACATAAAAATGAGAAACTGTATGCATTGCAGTAACTCCTGAAGAGTTCTTCTTCGGAAAGTCATGGTGTTGGAATGCCGTGGAGGTAGGTGTGGGCTGGGGCGGGTTCTTTCATTGATGCCTTCCATTACTGAGAATAAGAGCTTGGCCATTGTTCTTCAGATGTCTTCCAGTCAGTTAAAAAAAGCCTACAAATTCCTACTAAGCAGCCAAATGGAAAAGAGTCTCTGTTTACAGAGAAAACACAAAGCTTGTTTCCTCCCCACCATTAAGCAGTCCGAGTAGACTTAGCAGAACTTTTCCACTTAGGTATCCAAGTTAAGGCTATCAGTAACTTTTCACTTGAAATCTAGACATTTTAGAAACATTTTGTAGGGAAAACTATGCACAGGCCCATTCAAAATGAATCAAATAAATAGTTTGGTGGGTTTCCATCTTGGAAGTAGGATATTTATTTAAGAAACTCTAATAAAGCCCTCTTTTTAAGCCCATAAAAACTACAGTCAGAACCAAGTGGTAGACGAAAGACTCAGGAAATAGTTATTGGTGTGTGTGTGTGTGTGTGTGTGTGTGTGTGTGTGTGTGTG